CTCGCAGCAGCCGCCGCCGCCGCCGGCCGAGGCCAAGTTCCCGCTGCCGCCCGCGCAGGGGCCGCCCGCGCTGCCGCCGCCTCCCGCGCCGCCGCCGCCGCCGCCCCCGGGGCAGGAGGACTACTCGTTCCTGCCCCTGGTGCACGACATCATCAAGTGGTCAGTGGCGCCGCCCGGGGGGCTTCGGGCACGGGCGCCGGGAGCGGACTGGGGGGCGGCGGGCGAGTGACAAGCCGGGCCCCAGCGGAGTCTCCGAGGATGCGCCCCGCCGAACCGTAGGGGGCCCTTGCCTTCGTCTGAACCCGGCCTGGCGTTGGAGGTCTCCTGGGGGTGTCTGGCCGCTTGGCATCCGCAGGCGGCCACACACCCCTTGCCCGGAGGGTGCGCCCTCAGAACTTTCCCAAACCAAAGACTCCGCAACCTCAGGATGAATGAAACCCCCACTGGGAAAGGGGGGCAGGAAGTTGAGTGTGCAGAGAACTCGGAACCTGGCCACCTATCGCGGGGAAACCCTGCATGCACCCAAACCCTCCAGTTATTTTATATACAATATTTCTAGGTGTTTTTTCCATGAAGGCAATGTGCTAGGTGGCTTGCCCAGAACACACCAACATTGGCGCTGAACAAGAGTGAAAAAGCTGCAAGGGGTACAAGGGTTAAACTCTTAAAATTTGAAAACAGAGTGCAGGATAATTAAACTAAAAATATACCCAACTGCGAGAAATGAGGCTACAAAACCCACAGAGAACTTTCCCAGGGAAGCAGTGGCCTCACGCATATAATGCATTTGTGGAGGCACGTTCCTTTTCGACCCAAGTTCTGCTATGCCTAAACTCGTAGGGACGTGCCAGGAATGGCGCCCCGATGTTTTTCCTGATGCTCGGCGTGCAAAGATAATGACCCCCTTCCATCCCTCTGCTTCCCCCTTCAGCATGGATAAAGACAGCCAGGATGTCCACCAGGTGCTGAATGAGCTGCGGACCAAATTTGTGGAGATGCATAAGCTCATCAAAACCCTGCAAGGCATCGGCGTGAGTCCCGAGCAGCAGCAGCTGCAGCTGCAAAACCTTCGCGAGCAAGTGAAGTCCAAGAGCGAGTTACTGCAGAAGTACAAGAGTCTTTGCATGTTTGAAATCCCCAAGGAATAGAAGCCGCCTCGGCAAGGCGGTTGCTCTTCTCAGAAGCGCCCGAGCGCCCGTTGCTGTCAAAGCGTGGCACCGTGTGCCCGGCCTGCCGTCAGTTTGCGCAGCTCACCCTCTTCAGTGCATGTCCTGGGAGGTGTGTGCTGTGTGTATGTGTGTATTTCTGTCTCGGAGCCTGCTTGAGGACTGGTTTTGGCAGATTTGGGTAGTGAAGCTGTCCCTAGAATATACCTCTTCAGACTGCGGGTGGGATGGTGTTCTCCATTAATGAAATGAAATCTTTGCATGCAGAAAACTAGAGTGCCAGGGAGAAAGAATCGCCCTGTTCTCCCTGACAGACTAGTTTTCTAGCTGCGAGGAGCTGGTGGTTTAAAAGAAAAATATACAACACCTCTTAATACATAGATTGGTTTCAGTTTTTTGAAAAAAGGGGAGGTGGGGTTGTCATTGTTCTCTGAGCCCCAGAAGGTATTGGATCTGCTGCTTTTTCAAAGTGTTCAGGCTTCAGAGAGAGGAAATGCAGTGCTTATTAGAAATCGGCAGTGGGACAAAACTATCACATGGCATACTGGGTTTTACTGGACAAGCAAGTTGGAGAAATCCTTCCCTGGTTTCTGCTTGAAGGAATTCGGGGTTGATAGGGAAGACCTCAGTTTACAAATCTCTCTGTGTGTATAAATATTTGTCATAAATATTTTTATTGATTTGTTTGTTTGTACGGAAACTTCTCATTTCTTTCAGTTGTTTGCTTAAATGTCCTGTCTGAGGAAAACAATAAAATTCTGTGAATGCATCCATGAGAAATCTTTCCTGTGCATGGAATAATGACCTTATTTGTTCACTTGCCCCAGTTTTGCCAGCTGTGATTTGATGGGAGGGGAGGCAGAAATGCTGACTGTTCGGTGGAACCTTGGCATTCGCACAGCTTCCCGTTTTTACGAGGATGACCTGGGTCTGCTAAGGCAGGAAGAGGGTCCAGCTTCAGTGTGTTGGAACTTCTGCTGCACCCCTTTTCTCTGGCCACCCCGGCTGCAAAGAGGATGCCGCTGTGGACAACTTGGGTTTCATCTGGGCTACGAATGGAGGGCGCATCCTGTATGGTGCAGTGGTTGAGACTGGGGGCCTGGGAGACCCGGGTTCAAGTCCCCACTCAGCTGTGGAGCTCCCTGCTGCTCTGGGTCCCTCGCAAAGGGCCGAAGGGCAGGCTGGGAATGCAGTGCCATCGTGACGCAGTCATCCCAGCCTCCAAGCCTCTCTTGCGACGCAACGCCCGGTTTTCACCCCGGGGGGCAGTCAGTGCCTCCCAAGTGGGAGCAGGGGGCCAGCAATAACTTAGGGATCCGGAGACCCCCAGGAGCCGCACGAGCTTGACTCTCCCTGCAGAGTGGTTGCCTGCTGGAATCTGGTGGTGGCACTAGTTATCTACTGCCACTTTACAAAGAATAAGAGGGTGGGTCCCTGCCCCAAGGAGCTTACATTCTATACACTGATGTAAGGGTGACAGCAGGAAAAGGAAATGGCGGATGGAAGCTGGGGGAGAAGATGCTACTCTCATCCGTGCCCACACTTACTTCCGGGCGGGTCTTGAGTTGCGCCAGTTGGGTTCTGAAACAGATCGCTAATAGGGCAGGAAGACCTAGTGGCTATTGCAGCCCTACATCTCCACCTACCTAGAAATTTCCATCTCGAGGTGCCTTGACTAAGAGCATGATTAGGGTTTTCCGGCTGAAGGTCTGCACAGCATCCAATAGGAAGTCCCGAACAAAATAGAAAGAGAAACGCAAACCAGCCCTGTGGAGGAGGAGAACAATAGGTGTCTGAATTCTTCTGCCTCCGCACCCCAATTGTCCACCCGTGACTAACGCAGAGAAAAGGCATTGTTGGATCACGCAGGGAGGCCAGTCTTGCGTCGCCGGAGCGGTTTCAGGTGTGTGAGTACAGTACCTTGGCCCCAGTCCAAAGTCACGAGCAGAGAGTACATTCTTGCTTTGTCCTGAAGCCGGGACGACAATGCGGAGGGTTGGTGGAAGGTGCCGAGGGCGTTGCGAGGAGCCCGGCACGGGTCATCGAGGGCTGCCTTCTGGAACTCACCCTTGTTCCAAATAATGTGCTCCGTGTGCCAAGGAGCGACTGTTGACTCGGTCGCACCTACAGTTTTTCCACTAGGCAGGGGCTGGGGCTGTTCGGCCAGAAGTATGTACACACGGCACACGGAGAAGGTTTTTCTGGGGCCCGCGAGAGAAGTGAGGCAGCGAAGAAAGCGGGGACACCTCCTCCTGCGGCACCGCTCCGTCCCGCGTGAAGGCTCGGCCCTTCCCTTTGCAAGGTGCAGCAGTCAAGGCGGCGTCTGTGCATGGGAAATGTAGCCCATCCCTAGGATGTGAATGAATGGGAACATTTTGGGCATGGGACTTTCTGTGGATGCTTAGCGCCGAAACTCGGGGAGAAAGAGTGTGCTTAATGTTGTTGTTATTGTCACATTTATATTCGTCTTTCTCCTCTTGGGAAGAACCCACATCTCCCTGTGATCCTCACAACAACAACAACCCGGTGAAGCAGGTGAGGCCGCGAATGAGTGACTGGCCCGGGGGGCTTCTTGGCCAGAGGGGGCTTGACCCTGGATCTCCCGGGAGCTCCTGGGCACTGTTCTTGGCATTCCAAGTATGGCAGGGAAAATGCTCTCGAACCCTCGAACGGGGCTGCTGCAGGTTCGGGGCCTTCTCTCTGCCGCCATCCCAGCTCTCCCGCCTCTTTCTCCTCCTAGGTGTGGCTTCCCTGTTTGGCAGGTGTCGGCCCAAGGAGGGAGGATGCTGTGGGATCTCCTCCTCCTCCTCCTCACAGCCATCCTGTAGGCCAAGGTGAAGAAGGAGGTGAGGGAGAGCCATGCAGGGCCTGCTCTGCAGTGGCCCCTCGGCAGTCCCCGCAGTGCTGGCCTTGCCCTGGAGTGCAGCTCACCTTGAGCTGAATGGGCAAAGCGTCTGAGTCCATCTGTGGGCACTTCGCTGCCTCCCTGGCCTGCTCGGGACTCCCTTGGGTCACGTGGGGAAACAGGAGGCCCGATTCTGACGTCCGAAAAAATTCTGACGTCCGATAAAGTTTACCAAGCCCCGGGGGGCATTGTGCTGGCTGATGGGACTGGGATGGGTCGGAGGGGTCCTGGCTTGGGCAGGCCCACCTCTGGGGAATTCGGGGCACGGGAAGCTCATCCAGGTTGAGCAAAGCCAGAGTGAACTGGCATGAAAACTCCCTCGAAAGGCTACCTGCCCCAGCCAGGTATTCTTCACCGACAAAATGGTACACCTGCCAATCCAAAGTGTGGGGAGGGGGGGATCAGTCTTGCAACAGTGGCAGGGAGAAAACAAACAACTTTCATGGCCCGTGTCCGCATGTCTTATAAGCGCCAGGAAATTGGGCCCTTCGGGGGAGGAAGCCATGAATCCTCATTTCCCCCTTTTGTGGCTCCAAGCAAAAATCTCTCTTGAGTGTATTTGCTAGGATTTAACGCCGATTTATTAATATGCTTCCTGGAGCTTCTGGGTCTTTGTCCCCCTTCACTGCTTGTAGCAGAGACAGAGTCAGAGGGGACCCATGCTGGAAAACCTGATGAGGCAACAGGGACAAAGGGTTTCCTAGAAACCCATGTTTGGCACCAAAGCGGAAGTATGAAAGCAGCTGCAAAAACTGGAAGGCAGAATATTGCTCCCCTTGGGTTGTTTGCAGAAAAAATGGGAAAAATGTTGGCTTGCGCCCTCGTCCGGCTTGGGGACTACCGGTGGCGTGGGACTACAGCCAGGATCTTTCTCACTGCCTCCTTTCCCTGCTTCATAACAATCCTACAAGAAAAGCGAGGCAAGAGAAAAGGGTTTGGTGAAACCCATCCAGTACGTTCATGGCCGAGAGAGGATTTGAACCCAGAACTCCCTGATCCTGGTCTAACACCTTAGTCCTCTGGTGTTCTGCCTTATAAAGGACAGTCCGTTTGGAGAACTCTCAGTTCAACAGCAGTTTAACTACAGAAGCTCTGAGCACAGGTCGTGTTCAACATTATTATTATTATTACATTTTTATACTGCCCATAGCCAAAGCTCTCTAGGCAGTTGACAGCAATAATCATAGAATCATACACTCAAGTCACCCATCCCACTTCTGCCCAGGCCTGCTCCTGCTTAGCTTCCAAGATTAGGCAGGATCAGGCACTTCACACCTCGGGGATGGCTTCCAGCCAGTCACTAACAGCAACAGGATCCTGGACATGAACTCAGATGTGTCCTCCCCAGAATCTCACAGTTCCCAGAGGCCGATCAATTCCCAGTTCAAGGTTGATGTGGCTGCTTGGAATTAGAATCTGAACTAAACCTGAAGGTCCAGCAAGCGCAGTGCTTCTTGGGGAGGGGGCCCGCTTGGGTGGGAAACGATTAGCCCAGTGTCCCTGACAGAACAGGCTTGGTCAGTGGGCCAGGGGCGAGAGGCAGGCCTATGTAACTGCGGTCACTGGACTGCAATGCCCTTCATCTTTCGGCTGTCCGCTCACGTCCCTGCAATGCTTTTTCCTTTAGAGGCCTGCAGCTTTCACCACTCGTGTTGCTTGGCTGGATTCTGGGAGAAAGAAGGAAAGTCTGAAGTACGAACCCACCACCTGGGGTATTCTGTGCACAGAAAGACACGCTGCTCGTGCACCTTCCACAAAGGAGCGGTGAGGTTTAGCTCGCCATAATTTCCCGCAATCCTACAATCATCTGCCTCGTTCACAGAACGATGCAGGGCTGGGCCCACAATGCTCTTGCTTTCCCACCGCCTCTCCTGCCTTTTTTCTTATCGCAACCAAAGGGCAGAAATGGTTGTGCGATGCTTTCTGGTCGCTAGCGCTAGGAGCGGCCTGCCTAAATATCGTGGAGCGGCAATTCCAGTGCGTTGTGAAAATTCTGGAATGTGGTTGCCACAAGAAGCTGTGAAGGCCACCAACTTGAGAAGGGGGCTGGACACTTCATGGCAGGCAAGAATATTGATTCTATCTGCTACGACTATTCCAGCTGTTATGTTTATTTATATCTATCCCATCTATTCCCAGGGTTTGGGACTCCAGGTGGTCTGGGAAGGGCGAGGGCAGGGGCAATACGTCTCCCATGTCCTGCTTCTAATCTTCATTTTGATTAGAAGCTCTCTGGTTGACCTCCAAAGCCACCACACACGGGAGCAGAAACGGCATCCAACTGATTCAGCCCAGCTCCTCCACTCCATCTGTATCCCGTTTTTATTTATGCTCCTTTTTTGCAATCCCACCAAGACACACACAAAAAGCCAGCCCGGCATGACCTTATTTTCAAAAGTTTTATTTTATAGAAAATATAACAAAACAAAAAATAGAACCAGTGTCACACATTGTAGAAACATTTAGCTAAGATTTTGTTCATGTCCCTAGACCAAAAGATTCTACATTATAAAGTGCCAGTCCGCTTGGATGCAATCCTTTTCTTTTTGCAAGAAAAATCAAGACAAAGAAGGATGAATGTAAACAGTTATTTTTCCAACAACAAGCCCCTCCCTAACAGCCCCGAGTCCCTGCAGTGGGAGGGGTACGTGGGACCGAAGGGCCGTGGCCCCTCCAACAAGTCTTTCAGCAGCAGCAAAGCTGGTCTCTCTTTCTGCACCACCACACAGAGGCGGCTGCAGAGAGAATCTTGATAGTCCGGTGTCGGCTGTTCCCTTCCCAGCCAGCTCGCCCCGGCCAAAATCTTTACAACAGAGAGAGAAGAGAAGTAAGTTCCTCCCCTTCACAGCATGTTTTCAGTGAGTATCTCCACCACAGTTCTCCGCTGACTCCTTGCCAAGGAGCTCTTGGCAGCAATCGTGGCCCCTCCTCCTCCAAATAAAATAAAATACATCTTGGGGAGCAGATGAAAACGCCCCCGCTAATGGCTAGGAGGCACCGTGCCCCATGCAGAAAAGGGCTGCCATCTCGGATGGCGACGGGCCCACGCCACCAAAAGGGCTCGCAGAGTTTTGGGAATGAAACGATCTCTTCCCAGGTTCGCTGGGAAGGCTCGAAGGCCAGGAGAGGAGTCTTAGCTGATCACGCACCGCTCTTTGTCCTTGGCCTGCCCGCCCCGGATGGCCTTTTCCCGGATGTACATGAGGTCGCTGTGCACACTCGGCCGGCGAGCAAAGGGGGCCACGATCCCATAGGCGTCCCCGCTGCCGTCCTCAGAGCTCTCCTTCAGGAGCTTCTTGCTCTTCAACGATTTCTTGTGCAAGAGCTCGCAGTACTGGACGGAGACCTTCCGGTGGAGGTCGGGGCTCATCTCGCTGGGCAGTTTGGCCATGGTGAAGAGGGCCTGGAACATCTGATCCAGGCTGCTGTTCTTCTTGGCCGAAATCTCGAAGTAGGCGCATTTCTGAGCATCTTGTCCCACCAGCTGCTCGATCTCTCTCGGGTCAACCTCGCGGTAGAAATCGCGGTCGCCTTTGTTCCCGCAGATGACCAGGGGAACGTCGATGTTCTCCTTGGTCTTGTTCTTCAGGCAGGACTTTGTCTCCAAGATCTGCTGCTTCAGGCGCTGCACCTCCTCGAAGGAGTCGCGGTTATCCAGGCTGAACACGAGAATAAAGACGTCTCCTACAGAAGGCAAAGCAAATAAGAGAGACACACCGTTAGAAATCAGGCTGGAAAAGACTTGCGGTCTTTTGACCCCAGAAAAACAAAGCAGCACAGGGAGGGCTTGGCTTGGCTTGGCTGGGAAATTTCTTTCTGTTTGAGCTCAAATGCGGCACAACTGAGTTTCCCTCCATGGCTTTGTGAGCACATGTGTTTATTTGTGTAGGAGAAAGGCGTGCCTTGGAGTGGAGACGCGGCTGCCAGCGACACTGCTGGGAGCGAGTGCAGAAGAGCTGCTGAGATAATTTTCAAGGCTTTTTTCATGGCTCGCAAACCAAAATCTCTCTGGCAGCTTTTTTTTGGGGGGGGGGTGGAGTGCATTGTTCCTGTGTGTGCAAGGACACAATACCTTTCCCTTTCTCTTTCCCCGACTCCTGTCTCAAAAATTACAACCTCTCTCTTTTTACAGCCCCAGAACTGTTTAATTGTCAAAGCCAGAGGGAAGAACAGGGGCGGGTCATATAAAAGTGTCATCGGACCTGATAAAGATTTACAGCCCAAATGTCATTTTGCAAGGAATCTGAGAGACAAGCGATCTGTTCAGTTGTGCCTCCTGACCCCTTCAGAATCGATCTCGGAGGCGGGGGCTGCCGATTCGCTTCCGTGGCTGCAGCCACTTTGCAAAATTTGGGCTGTCCCTTGCATCGGGCTTCACTGGGAGTTACGGGAAGGCATGCCAGCTAGCGGCTCCCTTCTAAGTAAACACCCTTAGCACAGTGAGGACTTTCCGAGTGGAAAAGACAATAAGCAAAACTGGTTTGAGAGAAGTTTTACTTCTCCATCACAAATGTACTTTTTTTTTTTTCCTTTTCCACTTTCACTGCCTCGGGAACGATCTTCAAAAGAGCCGAGAGCTGCCCCACCTGCGCGTGGCTGCTGCGCACATCAGACTCCCCCCGACTCTCACTAGGTTGTGGGAAGGGGCCAGTGCAGCTGCGCTTTCCCAGCTGGTGAAGGAGGAGGAGGAGGAAGAAACCCATGCCCAAGGACTTCAAGCTGCAAAGCTGCAGGCACGCTTTCCCGGGAGCAAGTCCCATTGAACTCAACGGCTCTCACTCCGGGGTAAGCACGCCTGGGCGCGCTAAGTCAGTACGGGAGCTCCCCTCCCGCAACCTGGCACAGCTAGCTGGGGATGCTGAGGCTTGCAGTCCCGGGTGCCCGGAGAAGGGGAAGGCTGCCGTGGGCCCGCTCGGGCTGTCTGGTTCCGGCGACAAGAGGGGCGCTCGGCAGGGGCGGCGCCCGCCGCGGGCCGAGCGTGTGCCGGGCGCCCTCGGGGGGCTGGCGGGGGCGGGCGGCGCTCACCGGTGAGGATGGAGAGGCGCCGCATGGCGGGGAAGGGGTGGTTCCCCGACGTGTCCAGGATGTCCAGCTGGTACACCTCGCCGCGGATGCTGTAGAACTTGCGGTGGAAGTCCTCGATGGTGGGCGTGTACTGGTCGTCGAAGCGGCCGGTGAGGAAGCGGGAGACGATGGCCGTCTTGCCCACCTTGGACGAGCCCAGGACCACCATGCGGTAGCAGTTCTTGGCCGGGATGTTCAGCTCCGGCTCGCTGGGACCCATTTTCTTGATCATCTCCGCCAGGCGCATTTGAAGGCGAGGAGCAGCCGCGACGGGCGGACGGACGGGCAGGCGGACGGACGGAGCGCACGGGAGGCTGGCGGGCGGGCAGGTAGGCTGGCGAGGCGACTCCGGTCGGCTGATCTGCGGAGCGGCGGCGGCGGCGCCCCTTTATAGAGCAGAGGCGGGGCGCGCGCGCGCGGTCCGCCCCTTGGAGGGGAGGGGAGGGGAGGGGAGGGGAGGGCGGAGGCCGCGCTGGGCGCCCGGAGCGCGGGGAGGTGGCGCAGGACGCAGCCCCTTGCAACCCCGGCCGTGCGAACGAGAAGAGCGGTGCCCCTGAGCAAGCGCAGAGTGCAGCCTCCCACGCTGCGAGGGGCTCTCAAGCAGCCTTGCCCAACCGGGCGCTCGCCCCCCGTTTGGCGCCCCGGGAGCCCCCGAGCGGCTGCAAGTCTCTGGAAGAGGCTGAGTGGCGGCAGATCGGGGGCTGCGGGTGGGGTTGTCCAGACCTGGAGGTCGTGCCGAGTGGGGTGAGGCTGTAGCCATGCGCTCTGAGCCCTGCCCCCCCCCCCAGTGACGGAAAAACGTTGATTTTAAAAGATCGGCGCATCAGAGCGACTCTTCTGCCCTGCTGTCTTTGGTGGCCCCCGCAGAAGGTTTGCGCTGGCTGCGGGCCTGGGGTGAAGTGGGGGGGGCTTCCTTTCCAGGCCAACTGCAGCCCCCCCCCCCCCCCCCCCTTTGGTCCCGCGGAAGAAGCGCTCGGCAGATCCCAGCGCGCCTTCGCTGATGCGCGTCCCGGCGCTTCCTTTGCGGGGACCTGAACTGATTCGCGCAGAGACCCCCTTTTTTCAGGGAGCGAAAAAAGCAAACCAGCAAGAGGCACCAGTGCTGCCTCCCCCAGAAATAAAGGGGTTCAGGGAGCTTATACCTTAAAACGGGGAGCAAGCGGGACACATAAATCAGAGAGAACGAGGGAAAGGCGCATCCCTGCGTTTCGCCCATCGGGCCGCGACGCCTGACCCGTGTTTTCTTGCGGCGGCAGGGCTGCTTACTCACGAGCAAGCGCCCGTCGGCGCGCAGCCGCTCAGCTCCGCTGCAGCTCAGGGGAGAAGCGGGATGCGGGGGGGCGGGTTGAGGGGCGCCGCGGCTGCGCCGCGGGGGGCGCCGTGCGCGTGAGACGCATTGTCCGAGGTTGGCCGGCGGCACTTTTCCTTCCAAAAAGGCTGCGCGGCTCAGCGGGGGAAGCTCCCAGCCTCGCGGGGGAAGCGTTTCCTTTGTTTCTCTCGGCGGGGGCTGAGCTCACAATCGCGGGCGCCCGCCCCGCAACCTGTTTCCCTCAATAAATCAAAAGGGGTGGGGGGTCCTTTGGGGCAGCCAGAACTGCACTTTGGAAACTTTAGGCGGCAAAAGGACATTCCTGCAGCACCTGAAGAACGCGAGTGTTTCCCCTCCTTGAGCATGTGCAGAGTGCGTGGCCCCTGGACAGCCAGAGCATTGGCATCCTGAGTCTGCACCGGTGGATTTGGAATTTGGGGAGCCGCCGGGCCGAGTGCGGACTAAGCCCGGCTCTCCAGGGTCCTGGCCCAGTGCCTGAACCCCTTCACCGCACTGGCTTCCCAGCTGACAAAACCGCCATTCCTCCATGCTGCCAAACAACCACAACCACACACACTTCCAGTGCGGTGTGTGTCCTACCCATCTCTGTGGCGATAAAACGACATCAGGCAGCAGCTGGACCTGCGAAACGGTGAAGGGGCTCTTGTGCTCCAGGAAGGCTGGATTAAAGCTCCCTCTCTGCCGCCTCCCTGCACCTGGGCCAGCCCTGGAGTTGCCCACCCACCCAGGTGCTCCTTGGAGCGGGGCAGGTAACCAGGGCCTGCGTCCCCCCCCACCACCCTGCTCTCTTTATTGCCTCTGCAGAATGAACGGGCTTCTTCAAAGAACTTTCTGTGCCAAGAGAAAGAGAGGGAGAGTTAATCTTTAACCAGAGCCCACGAGGTTCTTTGGCCACCCCGCTGAGCATTTGGCTGTGCGGGTTGTGGAGGTGAGAAGGGAGAAACCACACTCTGCTTTGCCGGGACAGAATCCTTTAAGCTGCCCTGTAAGCACACACCTTTCAGCCCCCCCCCCCCCGTTTCAGAACAGACCATAATGGGTCACACATGTGGGTTCATCCCTGAGGGCACGGTCCTATTCAGTCCAGCTGGGGGGACACAGGACTATTTTTGGACTGACTGTGCCCAGGTTGGCACCTTAAATCTCCTAAGAGCATCTTCCTACTCTCCTCTGGCCAAGAGCCGCTAGGAGCCGTCTGGACTAGCCGCCATGGGCCAGTTGATCTTCTGCGAATTTGTCTAACATCCCTTCACATTCATCCGCATTGTTGGCCATCAATGCATCTTGCAGCCCACCAGCCTCGGTGGAGTCTGGGAGCCATCTAACCCTTTGCAGGTCAACCCGGGATGCACACGCCCACAGCAAGGTGGCAGCACACCCGCCTTTCCCATAAGAAAAGCCCTGCTGGACCAGCGGCCCACAAGAGGCCACCCTGCAGGGCAGGAGGGCAGCAGTACCTCCTGACCATGTTCCCCAGCAACGGGTGCACCCTGGAGGGGATGCACAGACCATCAGCCATGGATCGCTTTCTCCACCACGAACCTGTCACCTCCTTTAAAGCTGGTGGCCATCGCAACATCTCGTGGGGGTGAATTTCAACATGTAACTAACTGTGTGATGAAGTCCTTCCTTCATCCGTCCTGGATTTCCATGACCCAAGTCAGTCTCCGGTCACTCACTACCTCAGTGCCCATCACACCTGACCCTGCCCTGGTGATCTGGCGCAGGTGATCTCTGCTCTGTCGGATCTCCCTAGATTAGGTCATTTTTGCCACCGAGACTTCCCCTCCTGCAGGAATCTCTGTCTGGCGTGCTTTTCTGAAATCAGACGCCCTTCTCTCTCCTGTCCAAACACCCGTCGACAGATAGGGTGTCCTCGGGAGAGAGGGTCCTTCAAACGCACACAGAAGTTAAAGCACATCTAAATTAGCGCATGCAGATTTGTGCTTTGGTGCTGCAGGCCTCCGCCCCAGACACTCTTGGAGCGCTGGGGTTGTCCCTCATCTCCATCTCAACCTAGTCCCACCTCACAAGGTTGTTGTGCGACTCAAAGGCCATAACCACGGACACAGCATTCCAATTTCTGTTTAGAGGGGGGGGTGTGAAATTACAAATCCTAGTTAGGACTTCACATCCTTTAAAGCAGGCGAGCTATTTGGCCGCAGAAGGGCCTTTCTGGGGAGAGATGTTTTCAGCGGCTCAGAGGGAACATCACAGCAGCAACCTGTATCTGTATTGCTGGAATCATCTGTCCCCACCATTGCTGATCAACATCCTGTGTGTTCCAAGGAACGAGAACAGCGATGATGGCAAGACACACACCCGCGAAACGAATCGCACGCCGGCAGCTGCGCGGCGATGCGGCGGCCGCCCACTAGGGGGCGCCGGGAGGCGCCGCTGCCGCTTTCCCCGCTCCGCTCCGCCAGGTGCCCGCAGCTTTCACCCCCAGCCTTGCGAAAGGGAGCGGAGGCAACTGAGGAAGCGCAAACTGGGGGAGTGCGTGGTGACACCACAACGCGGGCCAGCATGCGGCGGCTCTGGAGGCTCCCAAACCAAAGGACAGTGTTAGCCGGGGGCGTGAGTCCAGAAAGGACTCGAAGCAGTGTTGCCAGGGGACGTTGTCGTCGTCGTCATGGCCGTGGCCTTATTGACAAGTGCAGGAAGCTCACAAGGACGTGCAAGGCCTTGGAAGGGCTCTGCCACTCGCACAAATTCCGAATGATCTGCACCTCCACCGGTCCGGTCCCCACGGCTGGTACAGACGAGCGAGTGGTTTGTGCAGAGCTGTCCCAGGTGAGAAAGGAATACCTGGGGGAGCCCTGTGGATGTTCAGGATGCCCAAGGTGGCCCCCAGGGGGGAGGAAGCGGCTCTCTAGGGCTGCTCAGAAGGTCGTGCCCTTTTCTCCTGGCCTCGGCGGCTTTAACCCCGAACGCTGTCCGCTTGGGGGTTCGCCAAGCTGTTGCAGGTGTTTCCCCCCATTAAGGATCTTTTTCCGACTGGAGTGACCCTAACAGGGGGTTATTAGCCAAGGATGAAAGCCACGTTCCCACCACCACCGCCCTGCCTCCTGGCCGTAAACATCGGCCCCGGCAACAGAGGTCATTGGGAATGGCTGTTCCTCTGGGGACAGACAAACTGGATATCAATTAGAGTCTGTCGCTAATGACACAGACTATTAATAGCGTGGTCCGTGTGTGGTGAGCATCACTGGCTGTTCCACATTTAGCCAGTACCTGCCTGTGGAGAACCACCCGCTTCTCTTCAAAGAGGCCGTTCTGTTGACAGCCCGACAGAGACGCCTCATGGAACAAGCCCAAAGGGTGCAGAACTGGCATAGATGAGCTGGGGGTCGAAATGGAAGGTTCCGGGGGAACCCGTGCAACCCCGCTGCAGAGGGCCTCAAGGCTGGCATAGTCTGCAAACGGAGAACTCACATCGGGACCAGGAGTGCTCGGACACAGATGCCCGGAGCAGGCATCGCGGAGACGGAGCACCTCCATTCCCAGGCCTCTCCTGGGTGCCCGATTCTGCACCCCACCCACTGAACCCCAAGGAGATCGATCCCTTTCCGCAGGACTCCGAGGACGGCATCCCGTCCTCGCTTGGGGGCCAGGACCGTCCGCAAAGGGGCTCCCAAGACAAGCCGCTGGCTTGCTCTGCTCCTTAATTGGACGCTGCATGAAAAGAGGGCTAGGCCACATCCCTCCCTCGCTCCCTCTCTGGCCCTGCCAGGTCCTCGCCACGCCGAGCTGCTCTCACCGCCCTCTTGGTTTCTTTTTGGGTCTACTGTCCCCGGTGTTTCAGCGAAGACTTCCAGCCCTGCCCTTCTCCCAGGCCTGATTAAAATTCTGGGGAATCCACCTTGGAAGCTGCATTTTGGGAGAAGGGGGGCTCACCTCCCTCCTCTGAAAGTCGGGGCAGTCATGAAGACCACCGAGCTCCCCAGGAGTGGTGATCCTGAAAGGCTGCCTCTCAGCTACGGGACAGACCCTCGCCTCCTCTCCTCTCAGCTGGGGGGCTACGATG